GTCATTTTTACCTAACATTTTATTGGTAATGTTACCATTATTACTACAAGTCTTGATGTCAAAGGGCTAATTACCCTCCCCCAATCCTTTGTGGAATCCAACCCCATTACCCCCCATTCCCCACAGGTTTACTGCTTCCCCATGAATATAAGAACATACACTGCCTTATGCTTTACAACTTATCAAATTAAAAAAACAAATGCTTTATATACTGTAGAACCCTAGTAATACGGCACTTAAATAAGAGGTATGGTTCCCTAACACTGTAATTAACAATGAGGACTAATGACAATAATGGCAGCGGCATATCGAAGTATTATCCAAGAATGGTGCTTATATTCTAATGACGAGTAATCCAGGACAAGGGCAGTTACTCATGGGTGGGTAACACAAATGACGAGAGAAGAACGATGCAAGGAGTTTCAATCTATTTTCATCCAATACACATCGTACTTTTTTCCTTTAGTGTTGCTTGAGACTTCCTCATGTGATTTTGAGAAGTAAATTCCCCCTAACACCTGTAATACACACACTTTTTCGCGTAATGACATAGAAAATTACACTGCAAAATGTACAAAGAGATTGTACTGTTTTTTAAATACAAGACTCCTGGGCATTTCTTCTTTACCTTCAGATCAAAAGTACCACATTTTTCTTAAATTTTTTAAGTGTGGTTTTATCGTAGGAGAAATTTTCATTTAAAACTTTAACCCAATACCCACACCCAATGAGCGTGGAGATACCAAAAGCCTGAGACGACTTTGATATGTCCCCCTGCCTGACAAGCTGCCTCAATTTCACCGCCAGTTACCTTTATGCAAATATAGTTGTAGTTAACCCCAGAATAATTAAATTTTTTTTTTTGATGTTTTGATTGTGAAATTACATTAAAGACTGGATTCATCACATGAATTACACTGGGAAAGGGAGGTTCTTACAAATTCTGTATATCCGGCTATAAGGGCAGACATTTCGAGTATTTCAAAATTTTACGTAAGAAGGTATGTCCAATTGTAAAACACCCCTTTCCCGTAACCCCAAAGTCTACTTTGACCCGACCTGGAACATATATGGTGTAGAGCACTTTTCCAAGATTTTTTTCTTTGGAAAAAAGGCTCCTTTATTTCCGAAAAAATAAAATAACATTGACATGCCTCCTGTATTGTAAATCCACATGTGCCTACAAACTGAAAAATGTACAAAATTGTGCTTTGACATACAATGAGCCAGAAACCCACTTGTCTATGTTCGTTAGACTAAGTGGTCAGGGGGGCCCTGCTTTGTTATCTTTTTGGGTTCACATTTTCACTGGCTTAAAACTGAGCCAAAATTTCATTATGTCCACAGGTCGGTGAAATCACTGCCCTTGGAACAATAGTTCAATTGAAACCCAATAAAAAATTGCAACAACAAAAGAAGCGCTGTTATGCGGGGCCCTCCCGTATTTTGCTCACACAAACTTTTTTATATGGATAAAAACGTATTTTAAATTTCCGATTGCAAACACAGTAAAAAACGTTATAATGTACTTATTATACAATATTACATTGTCAAGAACAATTTTCACCAAATCACCAGGTATTTGCATTTTTATGGCAAAAGCGATACAATACAAAATTAACCCTTAAAACATTTTTGCATTACTGATCATTTTAACTGAAAATTTACCCGGAGATTTTCAAAGCGATAAACGTTTTTTTTTACTGTGTATTAATGTTAAATAATTACCCAAAGTTATTTCTGGGATTTTATGGGATTTTTTAACCCAACTTACGGCCCAAAATTTAAATTTTGTGCCATTGTTTTTTTTTTTAAAAAATGTTCATTAAAAAATGATATGGTTTTTGCTCCCTTCTTGTGTGTTTGTTTGAATAAATGCATTAGTAAAAATTGAAGGTCCCCCAAATTTTTTGTTGGCCTTATGTTCATAAGGGTCTTGTCCAAAGAACTGGGCTCCTCCACTTCTTCAGATCAAACCCTTTCCTCCCTGATTTTATCTTTATGTCGGATCAACCCTCTCAAATTTTTAGTTTTTAGGGAAAAAGAAGGAATCCGGGCTTCACTAATTCTAAAAGAGATGCTAGATGCCAAATTTTTCTTTTGTAAGAAAAGCAAATTATCAAAAATCTATATAATTGCAACTTTTTCAGGGCCATAAAGCCCTGGATATGGCTTTATTAGCTCAAAGAATGGGATGAACTCTCCCCTTGCGTAGATTAGGGGTTTAAATACTGGTGCTTATTTTAATTCAGTACTCATCTATTTGTACTCTGTGGTTCTAGGGTCAAAGTGTGTGTTGTGTATTTGTGTTTGTTGCTTTTATTGTTTGTTGACTTTATCTTTATTTTTAATGTGTGTTGTATACGGTTGCATGTTTATTGGTGTGAGTGCTGAGCGACCTACACAATCACTGCTTCACGACTCGTGAAATCGTAATAACACCACTGCAAACCACAAAATGGGTGGAGTTCGAAATCACAGCAAGAGAGTTGTGGCCAGCTGGCCCATTGGCTTGGAGTTTTACAACTCACTTGCCATAGGTTTGAACCCCACCCATACCGTGGTTTTTTCACCGTGCATTAATATCATAACTACTGATACTACTCCCTCCCTACTACATATACTATAGTATTACCGCTCAATCTGCAATTCTGCTTAGAACAAATGTTTATAACTACATCAGATGCCACTTACTGAAGTACGATGATCACCCCCCTCCCCCCTGCAAAAAAAAATCAGGTGTTCAGTTGAATGCTGTCTTAGCAGAAGAGTGCTGAGGCCACACTTCAGATAGCTCTTTGAACCCCAACATGTACAGGTATTTCCTAACTGCATTTTATCACCCCCCAACCCCCCTGGAAGCTTTCATCAACTTAATGCCATAGTGGGGGCTGAGTAACTTGTGCCTAGGGATAAGAGTGCCACACTACTCTCATGCTGTACATGAATGGTATATAATACCGACAAGATAACAACTGGACACATGTGCAACATCTGGGTATCTTGCAGACATTTCATCAGCCAGTGGCTTTATCAATACAAATTCAAAGACATAATTGAAAGGACAGTAGAACTATATACAAAAGATGAGGTAATCAGTCCCTTCAGCCTTGGCTGAGGGACTGATTACCTCATCTTTTGTGTATAGTTCTACTGATTCCATTATATCCTTGAATTTGTATTGATAAAGCCACTGGTTACTTTCGTTTTTCCTTTTGGGCCACCGTGCCTCGGTGGGATACGACTGGTGTGTTGAAAGAAGAAGAAGAAAGCCACTGGTTGATGAAATGTCTGCAAGATTCCCAGATGTTGCACATGCATCTAATTTTTATCCTCAGGCTGATTGCCTAAAAACCCAGCATCTCCTCCAGCATAAATGGTGGGGATATTTCCCCCTTTGTCTAAATTTACTAACACGACTCATGACATGGAATGAACTATGGACATGGGTTGTGGAATGATAAAAATAGACTCTGAATTCACTTTGTGATTATGATTTATGACAGCGGATTGGCAACAGTGATGATGGAGTCAGTTTAATAAAATTGGATTTTTTTTTTCAACAAACTGGCCATATCCCACCAAGGCAGGGTGGCATAAAAAGAAAGTTTTTATTTTTAAATTTAGTAATTTATGCAGGAGAAGGGGTTACAAGCCCCTTGCTCCCATAAAACTGGAATATGTTATATGAATAAACCACGGTCTGGAGTTTTGAGACTCTCTGATCGTGGGTTCTAACCCCGCCCATTGTATGGTTTATGTAGGAGAAGCTTACAATGATGTTTCGGTCCAACCTGGACCATTTAAGTGACAAATGGTTTGAAACGTCATAAGTTTCTTGTGCGGGTTATTTGTGTATTGTTCCGGTAACAGTGTTGTGCCTTTTTGTTCTTTATGGAATATATGTTTAACTCTTAAATGTCACTAGATTACATTCCGGTGTCACTCAACGTAGATCTACATTCACTGTGTGCACTTGACGTAGATCTACATTCACTCGTGTAGCACTTGAACGTAGATCTACATTCACTCGTGTAGCACTCCGAACGTAGATCTACATTCACTCGTGTAGCACTCTGAACGTAGATCTACGTTTGTGAGCACTCTGACGTGATACTTGGACAGGTGAAGGGTTAATGGACTGAATAACCAAGTGGTTCAGTTGGTTTGCAACTAAAGCAAACCTTGCATGTCATGGTTTCTTGCAACCATCAGTGTTTATGACACTTTCTGACTCTTGAGATGACCCTTGTGAGTTTAGCACTTATGATTATAATAATTTTAAATCCTTGAAGGCCCGTCAAGGAAGGTTCCTTGACACTGGTGAGGGGCTCTTGATCTAGGGAATTGGATCTGTGTTCCAGTTCCCTGAATTACACCTGAATACCTTCCATCCCCCCTCCCCACAGGCACTGTATGGGTTTAGCGCCCCCCTACGTAAATAATAATAATGATAATAATAATAATAATTAACCCTTGAAGGTAAGTGTTTTGATTCCATGAAGAGCTCTTCATCCAAAGAATTGGAGTTACCCTCCTTTGCATTGAATCTGCCTCCCAATTTCCCGGCTTTGTATGACCCCTACATGTTTAGTGTTCCATGAACGTAATAATGACACCAATTGTACTGTATTTACTTTAAATGAATGCAGTGAATCATAGCTGCCTTAGCCAGCAGTAACAACTTGGTTGATCAAGTCCTGATCCACCTGAGGGCTGGTCCTGGATTGGGCCTCGGGGGCGCTGACCCCCAAAACGCCCTTCAAGTATACTCCACGTAGCCGCCTACCTTGATGACAATTCATAAAGAACCACTAAACCCGCAGGGATCGTACAATCCAAGGAAGGGGAGGATGGCTGCAATTCCTTGGAGGAAGAGCCCTGCACTGGCATCATAGCACCCGCCCCCACACCACCTACAAATGCTTGTCATAAGCTACAGTGCAGTGTTACATGACCCTTGTGGGTTTAGTACTTAGTTTTGATTATAATAATAATAATATAAGCTACAGTGGTGTTAATGTTGAATTATCTACATTTCAAAAATATCGTACAAAAAACTTATTTGAAATTCAAAGTGAAGAAAAAATACAGACTTGGTGTACATTAATATATAGGTCAGCAACACACACGATCTTGGTGTACAGAGCTCTTGATCCAAGAAATTAGAACCTTCCTTTGAATCAAAACTCTTGACCCAATCAGAGTACCCCATGGATCAAAACTGACCACCTTGCATGCCCCTGGCTCCACGTAACCCCCATTGGTTCGGCATTCACCCATGAAAACAACAGGACTCCCATTTCTATTAAATGGCCTTTGAAGTGACTAGTGGATATATCCAAAATGTAAAAGGCTTTTCACTGTGATTTCAGTTGACAAAATGGCAGATAATCGAGCATTTACTGCAGCAAAATAGACATAACGCTCAAAAATGCAAACAGCATATTTCTCATTACAAGAAATTCACAATTGAAATTATTTCATCTTTCGTACGACACTCAAAACAACCAAACAAAATAAAATTTTCAGAGTATAGTGTCTGGCTAAAGATATATAACATTAGAAAGTAAAAAATAAACTTGTAAAAGTAACTAAAATGCCGGGAGCAATAGTAACGTCTTCTCCCATACAGCTTGCTAAAAATAAGAAAATATCTTCTACTAAAACATTTGAGCACTAGCAGTCATGTGTAATTACAGACCGTCGTAACGGTGGCTAAAATCTAAAGGAGCCTTCAAACCAAGCATATACAACCTGAAGGCTATACAGCACTTGCTTAGCATTAGTAGCGTCAGCATGTTATACACGAACATTCTTGGGCTGGTAGCCTTTACAACGTAGTTAATTTGGAGAGAGATCATACAAGACATTTTGGTCTGTCCTGGACCACCGTTGACGCTAATGACACATCTGTGCAACACTTAGTTATCTATATTACCAAAACATTTTGCTTGTTCAACAAACTTGAGTCCTGGAGGTGGGAAGTACAGTGCCTGCACTCTATAGGAAGGTTTGGGATATTTGCTGTTTAGAGGGACATCTAAACTGTCGTATCTCTGCGCCTCTGGCAAGACAGTGATGGAGCGAGAGATGGTGAAAGCGTTTCTTTTTCGGGGCACCCTGCCTCAGTGGGAGATGGCTAGTTAAACACAAGCCTAAATAACACTGGAGACAGTATAACACTTGCCTGTTTTTAAGTGAAGTAATCTGTTGTGCCTGTGAAATGCTTCTGAACCCAAGATATCCAAGTACTGCACAGATCTTAACTTGTTGGTATATCGTCAACAGTATCATCTAGCTGGATCAAAATGTCATTTAAACTTTCCTCTCCAAACTGTGGGTTACCTGCAGGTTATTCCAGTCATGGTACTGTGATTTATTCTCTGTAATTCTCTTAGACTTTCTAAAACCCAAGTTGTTATGTATCAACTAATGCAGCCAGGGTTACACGCAACCAAATACCATAATACATTGCATCACAATGTGTGTTTTTTTTTTAATATGAGTCTTTAAGGTGACCTAAAAATATATAAATAAATTAATTCATAATTTTGGTGCCACCACAATCCATCGTCACTGTAGCAGACCGTACTTACCCACGTTTGTGACGGTACAGATTTAGTGGGAGATTCTCCGGGGCTTCTCCACTACAAACCCTTGTGGGTTTAGTGCTTGATTGTAATAATAATTCTCCACTACAAGAATTACACAGAGTTTCACCACTTGCAGCTTAGTCTGATTTACTTTAATGCTACAAGTGAAGATCACTTTTCTAGACATTTAAAATGTCTCGGCACATATTTTTGCACTATTCAGAAAAGTAGTAGTTTATACTGGCATGAGAATGTTTGAGAAACTTCCAATTTCCTTCACTTTTAAAATCACTAATTTCATTCAAACCACAATGTCTCACACACATCTAATGCGGCAGTTTTGCTCATCCTTCGGTGATGCCCACTTTTATTTCCTCAAAGATTTTCCAAGCCTTTGTTGTCGATGAATTCCACAAGTGCCTTGTAGCAGAACTCATATTGTGCCTGCAAAATAAGAAAATACTTAATACAATTCAAAACTATTTTTAATGAAGCTTGATTCTATTTCTCTCAACCATGGACCTGCTTGATACAACTTTCTCGGCCTTTTGAAAATCAATTGGACAGTTAAAAATGTCTCATAGGAATAAACAGAGCATTAGATGTGTCTAGTTCTAATGCTTACAATGGATACAGTCATGTAAAAAGCCCCCGAGGCCTGGTCATGGACCAGGTCACAGGGACGCTGACCCCAAAAACACCCTCCAGGTATATCCTTTGCATTCGTGAAAGTTTCATAAATAAATAAATAAATACTTGTTAGTTATTTATAAATACTTAGAACATGAAAAAGTCTTGGAGGAGCAAATGGATCTAGTACACAAATAACCCACACATAGGAGAAACTGATGAGGATGATTTGGCAATAAACAACTGTCAATGCATAAAGAGAAGTACCTATTGGTACCTCTTGATAAAATGTAATAGAGTAAGTACAGGTCGACCATCACTGATCTGCCAATCACTAATCCGGCACTAATTTCAGTTATCGTCATCGGTAAAAGTTTACATCCCAGGGCTTTCAAAGGTATGACACAGTTACCTGTGATTTACTGTGCCATGTCTGCCAACCTACAGGTCCCAATGAAGCCGGATTAGTGATGGTCAACTTGAGTTAGTTCTGATTCCTGCAGTTCGAGCTCCTCATCCACCGTTCTACTTATTTAATGTAATAAATCTTGCACATTCTATCGGAAAACTTAGAGCTAACAGAGCAAGACAAGTGACACTTACAAACTCCTGCAGAAGAAATTGTCTAAGAGCCCTTATTCTTCTCGCTGTCTGGAAAACATCTACGCGGCCTTCTCTCCGCAGCTGACGTAGACAGTTGTTGAGACACACATAGACGCTGCTACGGTCACCACCACCACTGGAATTCATCCAACCAACACAATAAGACAACTTGATTTGATATGCAAAATGACATCAACAGGCATCATATGACCCCTATGGGTTTATCACTTCCCCAGTGAATGTGCAGTAATAATAATAATAGTACCAACAAGCATTATAGACATAGAAGAGATACCCTCAATACATGGAGCCTCTATACTATGAAACTCGAAGCAAAATCCACAATGTTAAGTAATTTGAAAACAACAGTCCATTCAGTGACAGAAGTTATTTTTTACTCATCTATTTAGCATATCACATTCATATTCAACTTACGATGAGTTCGTAGGAATGTAGCCCTATCATAAGTCGAGGACCAACTGTGTTATATTTGTCTCGGTTGCAGAATGTGACTTCTTATTCTCAATAAATTTTCCGTATTTCTCTCTCTCTTTCTAATTTCTTAGCATGAACAAGTGTTCACACTAACCTACAATGCTTTCCTACAATGCAAATGCAAAAAAAGGGGACTTACGAGCAGTGGACGAGTGTTGGGGTTGCCGTGGACAAGCTAACATCGATGTGTGACTGTACTCTTGTGATAATCTCCATGATTCCATAAGTTACTAAAGGAACCTCTCCTAAAAGACCTGACCAGCCAATATAATGGAAGTGAGTCACAGTCAGAGCATCACCATTCTGGAAAAAAGCACTGCATCAGCACTAAACTATTCTGTAATACAGGGAAGCCAAGCATACACACCACCTTTTCAGTGTTCCAAATTTTCGTTGGCTTCAAAATGAGCCATTGTTCATTATGTTCCACCCATAGGTGGAACACTGGAATATTTAAAAGCCAACAAAAATGGAAAATAAGATAGTACAGTGGACCCCCGCATAACGATCACCTCCAAATGCGACCAATTATGTAAGTGTATTTATGTAAGTGCGTTTGTACGTGTATGTTTGGGGGTCTGAAATTGACTAATCTACTTCACAATATTCCTTATGGGAAAAAATTCGGTCAGTACTGGCACCTGAACATACTTCTGGAATGAAAAAAGTTCGTTAACCAGGGGTCCACTGTACTTTATTTCAGCATGATACAATGTTTGTACAAAGGTGTATGACATTTAGGTGTACATGCAGAAAGTCCCTTAATATGCAGTGTATTTCAGGCAAACTTTAGACTAACTTAAGGTTAATAAGGCAATAACAATTTAAGTAGTTTTATACAGTCTCTTAGGCGAGTCAAAATATAAATTTAGGAATTACAATGAATACAACGTAGAACAATGAATATAGGTACTGTATACATAGGTCACTCCTGTATATCATCCACCTTTAAATCATCCCTTCCAAAGTTTGCCCAACCTTTCATAGATACAATTAATGAACTACCATAAAATTTACAATGACAGCCTGACACAAAAGTGGGACCCCAAAAATGTTTAAAAAAAATCTGTTGTTTGTAAATTTTTCTTTTAACACATTAGCCGTTTCTCACCAAGGCAGGGTGACCCGAAAAGGAAGAAACATGTTCACCATCACTCGCTCCATCACTGTCTTACCAGAAGCGTGTCTACACTACAGCTCAAAAACTGCAACATATCTCCACCCCTCCTTCACTATCATATGTTATATATTAAGTAAACCTGCCTATAAATTACCACTGCGCTATTATTGTGCAATATATATGTCTCTGTGTATAAACATTTATATAAACAAGATAGCTTGTAAAGCACTGCATAAAATTTAATTTAATCCAAAATCTTATGAAAATTATGAGTTTTGCAGGAAATGTATTTAGGTAAATTTTCTCAAAAATTCATCTGAAAAGAACTGCATTTGTAAATAATATTTTTTTTAACACAAAGGTTGTCTCCTGTTAAGGCAGGGTGACCACAAAATGAAGAAACGAAAGTTTCTCTTTTTAAATTAAGTGATGTATACAGGAGAAGGGGTTACTAGCCCCTTGCTTTCTGGCATTTTTGTTGCCTCTTACAACACACGAGGCTTACGGAGGAAGGATTCTTCTCTACTTCCCCATGGAGAATAATAATAATAATAATAATAATAATAATACTGTATAATTATAAACATTTTAGAAAATAATCTACTGTAGATAACTTTATAAATCTGGGTTTAGAGCTTAGTTTAGATTGTAATAATACAGTGGACCCCCGGATAATGATCAGCTCCCAACTCGATCAATTATGTAAGTTTATTTTTGTAAGTGCTTTTGTAGGTGCATTTTTAGGGGTCTGAAATGGACTAATCTAATTCGCAATATTTCTTATGGGAACAAATTTGGTCTATAACGGCACCCAAACAGACTTCTGCATTGAAATAATATCGTTATGCGGGGGTCCACTGTAATAATATACTGAATTAGTTTTATAACTGTATGTTTTAGGACATGAACTGAAGCGCAGTTATAAGGTTTGTCTCCTGTGTGAATTTTTAGCAAATATACTTTTGAGTGCACACAAAACAACATCAATAATGACAACACTACTACATTGCATACCTTAGTATTAGTTAGCAAGAAGGACCTGCTGGAGTACTTGGGGTAGCTCTCACTGGAGACCAGCTTAACAGAGATGTGTTCGTACGTTTCTTCATCGTCCGGCCAGTACTTGTTGCAACACTGCTCCCCACTCCCAAGCTGCTCCCACAAAGTCTTCATTAATATTCTGTATACAGTCAGCACCCTTATAAAGCTCCTCTATAAGGTGATTTTTTGTAAGTGTGGCTCAAAAACTACATCCATAATTGAATAGCACTTGGAAAGGCCCTTATAGCATTTTTTTTTTAAACAAGCTGACCGCCCCCCACCGAGGTACATCAACTACATATATTATTTTTCATTTTCATATAGAACAATGCACTATAAAACTTTATAAGAGAATTGACTGTATTCCAAAATGTACCACAAAGAATATACTATTTTTGGGTGTATATTTTCAAAGAAATCTTAACAAGAAGGATTTTGAAATCCTCTGGATTGGGATTAATATATTATTAAATTGGAGGGGAAAACTCAAGGAAATATTCTATATATCGGATAATATCTACACTCGCTGATTTTTTGTTAACGAGTGCCATGAAAATTGAAAAAAGTCCAAATACTTTTCACATATTTTCGTTAACCTTTAGAATATCTTGGAAAAGATTCCTAACAATAGATACATTTATTAAAGAAGTTAACAATAAAATAGGTACTGAAACAGGTTCAGTCCTTTCATTGTTTATCAAATTTGTATAATATTCATCTGGTAATATCTAAAATATCTTCATACATTTTTTCCTTGATATTTTTTTGGGGGGATCCTGACAATAGGCACATTTATCAAAGAAGTTATACTACACAACTTGCTACTGCAACACACACATGGCTTGTACTACTCTTCAACACACATGGCTTGTACTACTCTGCAACACACACATGGCTTGTACTACTCTGCAACACACACACATGGCTTGTACTAATCTGCAACACACAGAGGCCTGGTCACAGACCGGGCCGCGGGGGCGTTGACCCCCGGAACTCTCTCCAGGTAAACTCCAGGTAAACAGACATGTGGCCTGCAATATTCTGCAACACAATGTGGCTTGTACTACTCTGCAACACACACACATGGCTTGTACTACTCTGCAACACACACACATGGCTTGTACTACTCTGCAACACACACACATGGCTTGTACTACTCTGCAACACCACACAGTGGCTGTACTACTCTTCAACACACACACACATGGCTTGTACTACTCTGCAACACACACACATGGCTTGTACTACTCTGCAACACACACACATGGCTTGTACTACTCTGCAACATGCACACATGTGGCCTGTACTACTCTGCAACACACACACACATGGCTTGTACTACTCTTCAACACACACATGGCTTGTACTACTCTTCAACACACACATGGCTTGTACTACTCTTCAACACACATACATGGCTTGTACTACTCGGCAACACACACACATGGCTTGTACTACTCTGCAACACACACACACACATGGCTTGTACTACTCTGCAACACACACACACATGGCTTGTACTACTCTGCAACACACACACGGCTTGTACTACTCGGCAACACACACACATATGGCTTGTACTCTGCAACACACACATGGCTTGTACTACTCTGCAACACACACACACATGGCTTGTACTACTCTGCAAACACACACACATGGCTTGTACTACTCTGCAACACACACACATGGCTTGTACTACTCTTCAACACACATGGCTTTTACTACTCTGCAACACACACATGGCTTTTACTACTCTGCAACACACACAAGTGGCTTGTACTACTCTTCAACACACATGGCTTTTACTACTCTGCAACACACATGGCTTGTACTACTCTTCAACACACATGGCTTTTACTACTCTGCAACACACACATGGCTTGTACTACTCTGCAACACACACACATGTGGCCTGCAATACTCTGCAACACACACACACATGGCTTGTACTACTCTGCAACACACACACATGGCTTGTACTACTCTGCAACACACACACATGGCTTGTACTACTCTGCAACACACACACATGGCTTGTATTACTCTTCAACACACACACACATGGCTTGTACTACTCTGCAACACACACACATGGCTTGTACTACTCTGCAACACACACACATGTGGCTTGTACTACTCTGCAACACACACACACATGTCTTGTACTACTCTTCAACACACATACATGGCTTTTACTACTCTGCAACACACACACATGGCTTGTACTACTCTGCAACATGCACACATGTGGCCTGTACTACTCTGCAACACACACACATGGCTTGTACTACTCTTCAACACACACACATGGCTTGTACTACTCTGAACACCACACACACACATGTGGCACTAACAACCTGCACACACACACATGCTTGTACTACTCTGCAAATCACAACACACACACACATGGCTTTGTACTACTCTGCAACACACAACATATGCTGTACTATGCAACACACACACATGGCTTGTACTACTCTCACACACACACATGGTTACTACTCTGCAACACACACACACATGGCTTGTACTACTCTGCAACAACACACATTGGCTTGTACTACTCTGCAACACACACACACATGGCTTGTACTACTCTGCAACATCACACATGTGGCTGTACTATCTCTGCAACACACACACACAAAGAGCATGTACTATCTTCAACACACACACATGGCTGTACTATCTCTGCAACACACACACATGGCTTTACTACTGGTGCTCAAAACGAACTGAATCAAAACATTGGCTGTGACATCTGGCAACAACACCATTAGGCTTGTAACTCTCAATCATGCATCATTGCTGTATTACTCTGTTAACAATAAAGCATGCAACATTGTACTTCTTGTCCAACAATCAACACACAAACTGGACTTGTCTACTCTGCAACACAAAGACAATGCTTGTATACACTGAATCAGCACACACAAACATGGCTTGTACTACAACAGCACACAACAATGGCTTGTACTCTACTTAGCATGAAACATTACACAACATACAGATGTGTACACTCTGCAAATACAAACAGCAAATCACACAGAAAGGCATGTAACTACGACTGGCAACAAATTGACCAACACACAACTACAGTGACATCATGCAGGACAACATGCATGTATATCTGCAACACAATACTGAAACAGGACAACAGCCAGTTGATGTAACTTTGCATCAGCAATGAGAGGCTTGATATATCCAAAACACATTCATACATACAACTGTTTCGGGTTGTTAGGTAAGGTTCGTAGGAAACAGAACAAGTGTACTCTCTGCACACACAACATGTTGATACCTGCAACACTGAACGTTTGGTACATCTGACCGAGCCTCACAGCTGGCTTACATCACTCTTTAAAAATTATGGTCTACGTATTTAAACACTGTATACCTTATACAGCGGTACCACCAGTTTTACATGCTCCCAACACACACAATTTGGTAAGTGTATTTGATCTGAAATGGACACATTTACTTACCTTACTGGGAACAAATTACGTAGCCTGTACAGTAAAAGAGTTTCGTGGTTATGTCTGCATAAGGAATAGTCACTTTCAATAGTAAATACAATGTTCATACAGCATATCTCTGAGAATTTTCCAAGATTTACATAAAACAGCCAAAATTCTACATTTACTTTTTTTCAACACACCAGCCATTTCCCACTGAGGTATGCTCACCCGAAAAAAGAAGAAATACTTTCACGGTCACCATTCAATCACTGTGTTGCCAGAGGCATGTTTGCATCACAGTTAACAATGCCCTGCAAACTGAAATATCACCACCGCTCCCCTTTATCTATCTGGTCAAAATACCCAAACATTTAATCCATTATCAATAATTTCATTAAATCTTGCCATCTATGGTTTTTCTAAATTGAAACTCATTGTATGGTAGCTGCTGCTCTTAACCAATGGTGGTATACCTGGAGTATATCTGAAGGGCATTCCAGGGGTCAATGCCCCTGTGGTCCAGTCCATGACCTTGATGCTAGTGAAGGGCTCTGATAAGACACTGAAGATACCCTTCTCTTTCCTATCAAACCTGATCACATCTCAATCCCCAGGCACTGTTTTAATGGGGTCTCTGACTTTACCTCTACCCCCATTAATTTTTTTTAACTCAACAGCTCTCCCCTGCCAAGGCAGGGTGACCCAAAGAACAAAACACATTCACCATCATTCATTCAACTGCAGTCTTGCCAGAAGTGTGCTTACATCACAATTCACATTAAACCCTGACTGCAACATTCCCATTTATCCTCTCATGTGTTTATCAACATATATATAGAAGGGACCTGCACAAACAGTACCCTTTTTAGATGATCCATGTTTTTGCTGGCTTTCAACTGATACACTGTTCATTATGCTCCACCCACTGGTGAACATTGCCAGTGGGTGGAACATAATGAATAATGGTTCACTTCAAAGCCACCAAAAAGTGTGGGAAATCAAAAATTAGGTGCTGTATGTGTGGGGGCCCTCCTGTACACAAACATCAAAATTGATGCCTCTTTCCTGAAATCAATCAATCAATCAATGAACAAGCATGTAGGCAATGGCAGAGAGATACACATGCTCACACACATACATGCTCACACACATACATGCACACACACACATACACACAAACACATGCACACACACAGTGTATAATTTCTTAACCTAGCATATCAGATTTAGAGCGAGACAAGCACATTGTTTGAAACACATCAGTCACAGAATTTTGACCCTTGATATGTGATTCCTACCGAAAAGTGGCAGAAAGAGCTATCCATGCATTGCTTCCATTTGCGTCGACATATCTTTGTGAGTCAGGCTTTTCAACTCTGTTCGAAATCACTTTCAACCAAGGCAGGGGACACTACTGATGTGTTAAACAATATGTTTGCACCAGGACTGTTAATATTACAAGTTTCCCATTGCTTTATGCAGATTCGCTTTGGCCAAATTCGCTAATACGAAGTCTTGTTTCTAACGCTAACTTTATTTAGACATATACATTCACTGTAGATCTGTGCAGCTTACACAATGTATTGAAAGATTCTTAGTATGTTTAATTAATTGCTGCTAAGTTACACAGCTACATTTCTACATAAA